ACTCAGAAATTCTTGGATATCAAAAAATGACTGTAAGAATGAGAAAGATAGATATGTAGCACATAGCATTATCTTTTGTCGAAATGAACTGAAAGAGGAAACTCATCCATCTAATAAGTTGCTTTTACAGTGTTTTTTAAATGAATGTCTTGTAGAGTCCTACAATTCGATCCGACCCTCAGGGAGGGTGTGGGTTGAACTATGAAAAGTGTCAGATTCATTGTTATACCGAATGATGGTAAGCAATTATAATAACGTTATTTTATTTTGTCATCAAAAACTTGTGAAAATATGAACCAATAACATGCGATTCAATAGAGGTGAGATAAGAGTCAATTGTTATGCTCTTCTGGTGTACATGTGCTGGAACGAGTATAGAGAATGGTTTTCATTCCAACACATTCTATTTAAAAGGATACTGAGACCAACTTTTATAGCAGTAGTTTTGAATCATTTAATAGAACTATTCTGACAAAGGTCTGTCTTGGTGCAAAGTTTCAATTTCAAATTCGAAAATTAGTTTTTCTGTAGCATGACATTCATTTAAACACCAATGTAAAAGTGCAGTCTCTCCACAGCAATAAGAAGATACTGTCATAAACTTATTTTGATCTACACAATGCACATAGTCTCGATGCAAACCCGATTTATTAGTTAAAGGACATCTCTCTTCAGGCTTTTTGCAGCACACTATTAACTATAGTGCCTGTAAACAACACATTCAAGACAAAAAATTACAGCAGATTGTATCTATGCTTTTGATCAATCTGAATAGGAAACAATTATGAGAATTTATTTATTGGTACCAAACTGTTTTGTCCATATTACACTAAATTCGAACTCTAGAGCTAAGCTGTAAAATATCTCAATTCTATATTAGGATTGAATTGGCAAAGCATCGAAAAACATTTTCTATATGTTAACTTTAGTGATCATATTGATCGTATATCATTAAATAGCACAAATCGAGAAGTTGTTTCAACAGTTGTTCATATATTTGCAATAATTTTAATGAAAATCATTTTGTAAATATAAAGTATATTTCGTCTCTTACAGATGGTATTTATCGTACTGAGAAATGTATACTGGTGCTAATATGGTTGAAATGCAAAATGGTGCTCCAAATCGTCCAATTCATATTCATGTTGCATCTGATCAACTGCAAGAATGTGCTTTTCCCAGAAGGCAACAATTAAAATTAGCTAATGATCGACGTATGTGTGTTTGTAAGTAAAATTTGAAACAAGAAAAAAAGAAAAAATATTCTTTTATTTATTTTTAGCACTATTATCATCATGTACTTCAGTTAATTTTACTTGTCGCAATGATGAATATCTTTCAAGATGAAAAGTTTGTGATCGTCAATGCGATTTTTCGGATGATTCAGATGACGATACAAGATTTTGTTGTAAGAAAATTATTATTTGAAAATGAATTTCGTTTGTTATTATTTCTTTTTAACACGTTATTCTTGTTGACCAACTGAATGTGGACAGTTAGGTGGTGGATGGATTCCATATATTGAGCGATATGATCGAAAAATTGTTAAGTAAAAAAAAAGTTGTTAGCACAACTCTTGTGGGATCAAAATATCGTTGGTTTACTTAATCCTTCAGATAATAATTAGGAAATGATTCATATATTATAAGGAGAAATGATTGATATGTGGTCTCTGACTAGCGTTTGTTACGGTCTCTAGTAGTTCCAATTTCTACTCCTATAATTCAACATTTCTTTCAGATAGTATTTCACAAGAAAAAAGATGAATATCTTTTTGAAAATTTTTATTTAATATAGGTTGGAATGATGAGAATGTCACTGATGAAGTCGATTGTCCATCTCGTATTTGTAATGGAATAAATAGTATGAAATTTCCAACTAATAATATTTGTATTTAAAGAACTTTTTTTATGTGGTATGTAAAAAACAAAGAAGATTAATTCATTTTAATGAAGTTTCCTTTAGTTTTGAACAGGTAGTGACACTGATTGTGGTTACAACAGTGATGAAAGTCCCATTTTTGGTCATAATATTCAATGCAATGCAAGTAGATTTATACGAAAATTTTATTTATTTTAAATCTTGCAAAATTTTGATGTGGGAATGATCCTTATATGCTATATTCTTGGATATGTGACAGTCAACGAGATTGTATCAATGGTACTAATGAACCAACTGACTGCCTTTCATCAAATTGAGCATATTTTTTTAATATTCAGATCATGACAATGATTGCGGTACGTTTATTTTATCTTCCTTTTAAGGAGATGAATAAGATGAACCTGCTGCATATTGTAAGAGTTAATGCATTTTTGAATAGCCTCACAATATCGACATAGTACTAATTCAGAATATCAATGTGAAGATGGCCGATGTGTAACAAAATCAGCAATATGTAATGAGTAGTGCATGACACGTGTATTTTCTATTGTGAAAATAATTGTTAATATATCTTTGTGTTTTTATAGCTATGATTGTCATGATAATTCAGATGAAAAATCATCATTTCGTCACACACAACAATAGTCATCGGGACAATTTCAATGTCGAAATAAAGAATGTATATCATATGAAGTTGTATGTAATGATGTAAGAAATCATACTGATGGAAGTGATGAACCACCTAGTTGTGGTAAGAATTTAAAAAAATCTTGATAATTTCAAGTGGTGATGAACATGGTTGTGTTAATTCATTAACTTTTTTCCGATATAAATGTCGAACGGGTTATAAATTAACATCAAATCAGAAAAATTGTTGAGATGAGATATTTATATATCAAGAATTTTTCGATTTAAAAACAATATTTTCAATACTTTATCATGAGAGCAGTTATTTTTATGGAACAAAAAATGGATTGAGTAGAATAGGACAGAGATGCAATCGGTCTATCGGTGATTGATCGGTTTGAAATTCGCACTGGTACCAATTCTATTACTGGAATAAGAACTAACGCATGCAATGACTTACGAAAAAAACCAATCGAAATGATATCTGCTATTTGAACTTTCATGGTATCTATAAGAATACCTTGGTAAGACTAGAGAAATTCTAAACGGGTTCGTTCTCAACGGATCTTTGGAGCTGAGTTAGGATTGTTTTACTAAATTTTCGACCCAGCTTTTACATACGTATCGGAAATTACAGATTGTTTTACTTTGTCGAGATATTCAATTTTCAAGTTAACTTGATATTTCCATGATGCCTGTTTCAAGCGATTAATTTTTGGAAATTCAACATCTCAACAAAAGAACACTCGTTTCGACTGAAAATCTCAGGATATTCCACGAATTATTGGACCTGTATATCAGCAAAGTCTTCCTTCAGAATTCTGGTTTTCGACTTTTCGGTATATATGCAAAGCCTATGGAGACAAAACCTTTTAGAGTTTTCCTAAGCTTATCAAGAGCTCAACTACCGAATATCAGTTCGTCTGGTTATCTCATGTGAATGTAAATAAAAAAGAATAAGTGAGATTTAAATCAGCCAGTAGATATTGGCAAGTTGAATCCAATTGAAATTCGTCCGTCGGATTGAGATTAATATATCTCAAGTGAGAACTCAGAAGAGTCCACTTGCACATGTTTATTTCCGTCGATATTTAGCATCCTTTAATGATTGTATTAGAATTCCATTGAGCAGAAACTTTGACATAAAATGGGATAAAATGTCTAACAAAATATGCTGTAGTATCACTGTTATTGTTCGTATACGTAATAGTATACTGATAAAATGCATAACTTTGATTCATATAGATTTGAGAGTAATACGATTGTAGTTTTCGAGTTTTCATTTACATCATATTGAAATCGTTGAAGTTATTCTCTAAGGTCTATCCTATCTGTATTACATTCACTACCACTACTCCATGCAAAAAAGCACAGATTTATCTGTTCGTAGATGCTATCTTTCAATAAAACATAATTTTTTTTTCAATTGAAACTTCTAATTTCAATTATTATTTAGACATCAATGTATGTGTCATACCAGGTACGATTAAATCTTCTGTTCTTTTTTTCTACTAAGAAAATATAATTGATTTCTATGGATTTAGGAACCATTGTTTCACATATATATTGCACAAATAAATATTATGTTCGTGCTATTGGTCCGGATGAAAAAAGTGAATTAACAGTTTCACGTGATTTTATGGAATTATCAGGTATAACATATGATTGGAAAGATCAAAAATGATATATTGATAAAATTCGACAAGTGAATTTCAATCGAACACCGTTTTTTTTTACGTACATTAGCTATTGATCAGATTAAACGAAAATTATATCAATTATTGGATACACTTGATATTTGTATTAGTGGATTAGATGGTTGCTATGGTATAACAATTCAAGATATTTATCACAACCAAATTGTATTGCTATTGATCCATTAATTAGCTATTTATTTTATTCAGATGGAAAGAATGAATTTAAATGGAAACAATTTTCTTAAAATTACAAAGATTAGCGTATGTTGATATTTTAAAGATAAAAAACAATTTCTTATTTTTCATAGCATAGAAACCTACAATGTATTTATTATTAAATATAAAGTAAATGATCGAACATTGAAGTTAAATTTAATTTTTATATTGTATTAGAAAAGTAAAGAATATTATAAATAATAAGTTTAAGTTTCTTTATAAGTTTGCCGTGTCATGTATTCCTGAGAATCATAGATAGAATTTGCAAGTTCGACAAGATCATATATTTGACGAGAGAAGTATTCCAACTGATTAATGGCTTTTGAAGTAGTGTAGATCCAAACAAGTTTCGAATATCGAGATAAGAGTTCGGACTATAAGCGCTTATTGATAGTGTTTAAATGGCCCTCTCATAAACATCAGAAGAATTGATTTTTGAATTTCAACCTGCAACTTTATACAAAGGCAAGTCTTTTGAGTCACTTCTATCCTGAAATGAAGATATTGGATCGACTGTTATATATGTGAGATTAAAAAGATATGCTTTTATGATAGCTGTTTCTTAAAGGTGTGGGTTTAGTTGGGGATCTTCCTTCACCCACACCCACATCCGATTATGTTTTCTGCGTAGGAATAATTGAAATATTTTCAACCAAATCTTTTTTATCGATCAATTTTTGTTGACTTTTCATTATATATTCAATATTAATATTTGGGCAATTTTTTGATTTTCAGGAAGAAAAACCTATTGATCGAAATTTATTCTAGTAAGAACGTTATTTCAACGCTTGATATTTTCTTTATGATATATCCATTCATAAGAAAACAGCTTACAGATACTTTTTTTTCAATGAATATAAAAATGCTATTTTAATATAAATTTTTGTGTTTCTTTACAAATCATCCGAAATATATAGTTCGTTTTGTAACTTGATACATAGTGCTGATAAACAAAAAGAATTCGAAAATAGAAGTATTAACCAGGTGTTAGCTTTTTGACTGTAACCTTATATGTTTATTTTCTAGTACTCAAATGTACGAAAAAATAGGGGCATTGTAGATTTATCACATTTTCGTATAATATTTTGTGTCGATTCAAGATAAATTAAATGATCCTTAAATATTTTTATAGACATATTCGAGTGAGTCATCTAATTGGTTTTTTTTACTGTATGACAAAC